GCCATTCCCCTTAAAAACCCAGAAAAGCCTGCTCGCTGTGACATGGAAGCCAGGCATTAAACATGGCCTACTTGAAGTCTTGTTATTATTAATAAATCAAACAACACATATTTTGTGAGGGCTTAGACTGTTTCAAACACTACTACGTTCTACTAATAATGACTATATTCAGTCACATCACAAACTTTGAATGAAGGTTTACCAAGTTCTGACACTGCACTAGATGCTTTACATAAATTATCCCATTTAATACAATCCCAGTAACCCTGGGAGGCAGTGACTATTATTGTAATCATTTTGAAGACAAGGAATCGAGGGCCCAAAAAGGTTAAACCACTTGCCTGAGGTCATCACCCAGCTAACAGGTAGCGTAGTAGGATTTGAATCTGCTGGTCTATCTCCAAAGGCCACACTCTTCAGGACTACTCTGGATTCAAGACACCGGAAGACTACATGGCATCAATGCCTCATTGTTACGTATGAGTTATTTGTTCCCATTGGTAAAGACATCTTCAGGCTGGAAACATCATCTCCAGGAGGCCACGAAACACACTCCCTACAAGTTCTGGCCATTGTTCGGTGAGCCCTGGATCCTTTGGCATCCCCATCATGCTGCCTGGGATTACTCCTTGAGATCTTCCACATAAACCTGCTCCCCATTTTTAATAAGATCTAATTTTATTTCATTCTGCCGTGTATCACTTAATTTCTAAAAACTGACTTTATTTTTTAGAGCAGTTTTAGGTTTACAGGACTATATGGGGGAGTACAAAGTTCCCGTATATTCCTCCTACCCCCACACTGGCACAATCTCCCCCATTATGAACATCTTGCTCCACAATGTTGCATTTATTACAAATGATGAACCTACACTGAAACGTCATTATCACCCAAAGTCCATTTTACATTAGCGTTCACTCTTGTTGTTGTACATTCTATGAGTTTTGACAAATGCATAATGACATGTATTGTACTGAGTAGTTTCACCACTCCAAGAATCCTTTGTGCTCTGCCTGTTCTTTCCTCTCTACCCACCCTCCCCAACCCCTGAAAATTTCCCATCTTTTTACCATCTCCATAGTTTTGCCTTTTCCAGAATTATACAGTATGTAGTTTTCTCAGATTAGCTTCTTTATTTAGTAATATGCACTTAAGATTCCTACATGTCTTTCATGGCTTGATAGCTCCTTTGATCTTAGCACTGAATAATATTCTGTTGTCTGGATGTACTATTACTTATTTATGAATGATCTTAAAGCCACATTGTGGGCTTCCCGGAATTCTCCTCTGACTTAAGAAAAAATGCATATGGACTTTGCTAGGCAGTAACTGGATACTTTAACAGACCAACATTGGAAGGTATTCATGACTGACAATGGTATCACTGGATTACTCCTTCAGGATAAAACAGTTGTCTTTTACTAGAGTTCTGGTCACCCAAGGAGGAATGTATGATGGGGAAGCCAGGAGTCTGAGGCTCACTCAGAGGACCTTTGAGGGAAGGTGGCTTCTTAATGTCCCCATATGACACCATATGGACACCTCATCCTACAGAGGGGGTGAGCTAAGATCCCTTGAAAACCTAGCCATGCCTAGTATTACACTTTGGGTCCGTTAGCATCTTCACAGTTAACATCCTGGGATTTTCATGAAAGCAAAACACAGAAGAGCCGTTGGCTTATTCTCAGCTGCACAGAATTAAAATCACAAAACTAGCTTGATGAGCTAGAAAGGCTCCCGCTCAAGCATGACTGTTTTGCAGAAAGCACACTAGGCTGAGGGGCATTAATTTCAAGTGGAGTTTACATTGCCTGGCATCTTCTTGGCCAGAATTTATTAAAAGATACCTTTTTGCCTCACACCTAATAAATGATGATCATTATAGACCTCAAGGTCACTGAAATATCCTCAAATGACTTCTCAATCATTACTTTTAACCCAGTGATGTTAAAATTAAACTTCTAGCTAGAATTAGTATATTTTAAGTTACAATTATTCAAAAATGGTCATCAGTCTATGTATAATATAAAATAATTATTCATGAATGCATTTAACTTTGTTAGAGTGTGATTATATGAATACTCTCTCTTATTTAACAAATGTAAATCAGGTCATAGCATTCTTTTAAAAACCCTCCAATACATTCCTATTATTCATTGAATCCAGACTCCCTTCTGTGACTTACAGATCCCTATCTTGTCTGATTCTTTCCTGTCCCTAATTCCATTTCCACTTGTTGAATAAATATCGGCCACACTGACCTTCTCTCTGTTCTTTGGATTCACCAATTTGGTTCTGTCAGGGCCTTTGGACAAGCTGTTTTTCTGCCCAAAAGGTCTTTTTCCAGCTCTGCACGTGAATGGCCCCTTTTCATGTCGTGCAGATCTTGGTGAAATGCTGTCCCCTCAGAGGTCACTTCCTTGACCACTCTGGCGAAGGCGGTGCACAAACCCAGTCACTCTCTATCACATTGCCTCATTCATAGCATTCTCAATAGCTGAAATTATCCTGCTTATTTAATTTATTCATTGCCTATCTCCTCTGCCATATATTTAAACTCTGCAAGAGACAGGGACCTGGCCTGTCTTTTCACTGTTCTGTTTTCCCAGTGGCTGGCAAATAGTAGGTGCTCCAAAAAATGTGGAAAAAAATGACTGAATTGATGACACCATGGATGCTAATCACTGTCCTTTGAGTATGATTCTGTGTCTTGTGAGTATATCTGTATATAAATATATGTGTGTACCTCTTGGTAGAACAACTCTTTTCTGTTCTCTCTTTTATTGTCACCTGTGCTCTTAGGAAACCTAGTTCACTGGCTGTCATTTATCTCTGCAGTCTTAAGTACTTAGCACAACATTTGACACATGGTAGTTGATGAATACATGTTTTTGAGTGAAAGAATAAATTTGTAGGCAATGCTGATGAATCTCTTTAAAAAGCGGACTATGCCATTTCGGTGTTGATATCGCGAAGGACACACTATCCTACAATATGATACCTTAGCATACTGAGTGTTTTAAGGTGAAGGTAATTGAGAAAACCTCAGAAGCAAGAAGGTCATGCTTTGACCTTCTTCTGCCTTTCTCTCCTGAAGTGAGCCTGAAAAGAATTATCTGACCTATTTCTCCAGAAAGCAGGTCATACAACCCTCATTCCAAACATGTCCTGCCCTATACCGAGAGGCCATGAAGAATCTGAACAAACAGGCCTTGCTAAGTTCCCATTTACCCCCAGTTAATTACCACTAGACCATACCCTTTTGTTCTCTAATCTTACTTCTGCACAGCTGTTCATAAAAAAGTTTGTCCTGGGTCTTTGGGTCTTCATTTCTGAAGGCTCCCATGTCACATATAACTTATATTAAACAAATTTGTCTGTGGAAGCTTGAATCAAAACAAGAAATTGTATGATTTTCTCTTGTCAATCTGTCTTTTGTAATTTTTTTTTTTTTGGAGAGAGTCTAACTCTGTCGCCCGGGTTGGAGTACGATGGCGCCATTTTGGCTCACTGCAACCTCCGCCTCCCGGGTTTAAGCAATTCTCCTGCCTCAGCCTCCCGAGTAGCTGAGACTACAGGTGCATACCCCTACACTCAGCTAATTTTTCTATTTTTAGTAGAGACAGGGTTTCACCATGTTGGCCAGGCTGGTCTCGATCTCCTGACCTCATGATCCACCTGCCTTGGCCTCCCAAAGTGCTGGGATTACAGGTGTGAGCCATCGCACCTGGCCCAATCTGTCTTTTGTTACAGGGGTCCCAGTGAAACTTACAATGGGTAAGGAAAAGATAGTACTTTGTCTCTTTTATAGCATATAGCAACATGATGCTAATATTGTGAATGCCAATCTCTAGTGAAGCTTTAGTGACAGGACACTGTCTCACCAGCCCTCTGAGGTCCCTGCTTTTTGGAAAAGTTTCCTTTTCCAAGGAGCACATGAATAGTTGGCAGGCTACCAAGGAGGCAGATAGCAGAATGTCTGCCCTTATCAACAACTAGAAACCTTCTTAATCCAATATTCCTGGTAAAATGATGGCCCTTGTCCTTCAGGAAATGGTTGGAGGATAGGATAAGGTGACATTTATTAGATGCCCTTCATATGCCAGGCAGTGTCTTTGGTGCCAGATATACATCATCTTATTTAATTGTGACAACACTCCTATGAAGAGTTGTCAACTTAAAAACAAGGTGAGGAACCAGAGATTCAGAATATTGAGTTACTTGCACAATTTTACATACCTGATATTGACAGAGCTAGGATTTCAGTTTCTTTCTGACTCCAAATGCTGTGCTCTTTATACCACAGGCACCACAAAAGCAACCAAATAACAACAAAATCCTTTCTTGTATGATTCATTTGGGTTAACAAAACCCTCTTCTGAAATACAAGTACTCTCTGATAGAGTTATCCTACGAAGTCATTCACACACATGAATAACTTAGAATTCACATGCGTGTGAATAACTTTGATAAGATTAACCTTTACCTATTCTCTAATGGAGATCATTGTCCCAATAAGAAGGTACCAATTGGAATGAAGGGCTGGCCAGATGGAGAGTTTTTGAGAGTATAGCCTCTCAGGGAGGAAGACCTCTGGTAGAGTTAGAGACTGGGGACAATAAGAAGGGTGAGGGTGGTGTCCAAGGACTGCACCAACCTGACTCTGCACTAACATTTTCTATCAGGTACTCAGAAAGCTGTTTACTGAGAATTCTGACTGGTAAGACGGCAAGTGTATGAGAGCCAGCATAGCAGGAAAGTTATGTGTATGAGATCTAAAGGAGATCCTTAAGCTTCAGGTCTGCCCCTCATGGTCTATGTGACCTTGGTCAAGTCACTTACTCCATGTTCTTCACCTATAAAATGGTGACATCTAGTAATACATATTACACTTGGGTGCTGTTAAGGGTAAATGAAATTTCTCCATATACAGTGCTCTGAAAAGTATCTGGTAGCTAGTGATTCATAAATGTCAGCTCTTAGTGTGCAATAGCCCATACCATCTGACGGTCCTATTTGGTCATCAGCAGATTACAGACTGTGAGTCCCATGTGATCCTTCTAGTACATGTACAATCAGACCAGATGATTTGGAGCTTGATTGTAGGAACAACTGTGCAAAAAAGAAAATGTTTTTCAGTATTCCTTAACTTGCAAGAGTTTGAGTTAATGGGAGTCCCTTATCCAGGAATGTAGGCCCCTTCTGACTAAAAGGAATGTTTATTTTGCCCTGACAACTCTGCTAATAATTTGCCTTAATGTCACCAATTTTGATTTTATTTTGGATTTGAAATGGGATTAGTTATGTATTGATCTCAATCAAATGTTACTTTTATGCAGACAAGCTTCCATTGTGTTTTACTGTTTGTGACAATCTCCTTATACCACATTCAACAGGAGAATGGGGCAATATTCTTGTTCCAGGCCCAAGAAATTGATATAATTCTTCTAGTATTAGTTTCTCATGCCAACTCATTCTGAAAAATATGATTTTATTGTCATTAGTATTATCTTTACTTCTCACTTCTTTATTTTGGGGCATTTGCTTTGTCTTTTATAGTATCTTACACCTCTATACCTTGCTGCATGTTAAGACTCAGAAGTTCAGTGGCAGGATGCCTTATAGGTTGATCCACTTTTCGGTAATCAACTGAAAGGCTGATGGGCTACAATATAGTTGGGTTGCAGCAAAACATTCATCCTAATGAAATGTGACTTTATGAAAGAAATGCTCCTAATCCTCTCAAGGACTGAGCCAGGTCATCACGGGTAAATGAAAGGTATTTGAGGTTTCTTTCTTTTTCCAAAAAAACATGTTGGGTCCACCAGCTGTTACCCAGCATATTAATAAAAATCTTGTCAGCTTAGAGTTATTGCTGTTCCTGAAGAAAAGATAAATGTATGTATTTTTAAATCTGGACATATGAGGTTTTAAAAATATTATTGTAGAGTTCTCCTGGCTACATTTCCTTAGCTCTTTTCCAAGCCTTGGGCTGGAGAAACTTAAAAATGTCTCTGTGCCAAAGTTAAATATTAAATGAAAACCTTGTGTCTGAGGAGCTCTAAGATTAATAAATGGTGGCAAAATAGGTGAGATCCCAAATCATCAGAGAAAGCAAGCTGTAAAATGAATGAAGTTGTATTGTAAAAAGTGTCACCTTCTGAGCTGCAGAATCAAACCCACAGGGAAAAGATGAACCACAGAGTATTTCAGGCTTGGAGGAGGCACCATCTCTTTGAAGGTGTTACGGTACTACACTTATTATTGTTAAGGTAGAATGCAAAAACATATCTGAAGGAACCGAAAAGAGTTAATGCTTTACACAAATTTGTGATGCAATATCATAAGAGAGTCCCCCTCCTCTGGAGGACATAATTTTTTTTTTTTTTTTTGAGACGGAGTTTTGCTCTTGTTGCCCAGGCTGGAGTGCAATGGCACAATCTTGGCTCACTGTAACCTCTGCCTCATGAGTTCAAGCAATTCTGCCTCAGACTCCCAAGTAGCTGAGATTACAGGTGCCTGCCACCACATTTGGCTAATTTTGCATTTTTAGTAGAGATGGGGTTTCTCCATGTTGGTAAGGCTGGTCTCGAATTCCTGACCTCAGGTGATGCACTGGCCTCGGCCTCTCAAAGTGCTGGGATTACAAGCGTGAGCCACTGCACCAGCCAGGACATCAACTTTAACTGTCAGTAGTACTGGCTTCTGAGAGTCAAGTCCAATTATTATGGTGAATATTAATTTTAATAGTGTCATATTTTCCCTTGAGGTCTATTATATTCTTTCTCAAAGAAAACACTAGGGGAAAATGAAGTATTGTTAAAGGATTATATTAATGAGGCAGGAATATAAAAGTTTACTTTTCCTTTCCCAGATAATTGTAGTGATAATTTGCTTCCCAACCTTAAGCATGGATTGAGTGAGCTGTTAAGTCTCAGTTCTTCTTTCCCAAGTATGCCTCAGTGATTGGGGAACATGTGCTGTAAGGTGGCCTGCAAGGTAGAAAGAGCCTATGGGCTGCAGAATCCTAGCCACCTGGATTTGGATTCTGGTTTTGCCACTGATCAGCTGTGTAATCTTAGGGAATACACAGCCATATCTTAGCATGAAAAATTGGAATAATAATTCCTATGGGGATCATATTTGGTAACAAATGCTGAGGCCTGACCATTAGCAGAAACTCAACAAAGGGTAGCTTGACTAATATACAGTATATAGCCTTTGTATTCTTGCCATTACTGTGGTTCCAGGATCCAATAGGATATTCATATTCTTTTTACCAGCCAGCTCTTTTTAGGCACATCTATGAACAAAATTGTCTTTAAAAGAAGTAATATCTCTTGGGTTTGTTGAGCTAACATTTGATATATAAATACTACATATTAGCCTAAGAAAGAAAATACCTGTGGTCACAACCACTTTGTGTTGCATTGAATGGTGTTTAGAACACTTTTCTGAAATTGGAATATAATTTAAATAATTTTGATTAGGCATCAGAAGAGAAATCTGTTGTGTTAGAGAAGAGAATGGTATTAAAAACATCTAGCAACCATGAAATGTTAACATTCTTAGGTTGGGTGCCAAGAACATAGATTTGACCAAAAGGAGTTCAAGGACCAATGGAGGATTACTCTGGTTACAGGGATCCGTGACTTATGCGAATGATATTGAGAAAATACCACATCCTAATGACGCAAACTAAAACTAGATGTAGTATAAGTTGTTCCAAGCTTTACCTTGAAGAAGGCCTGGGGACGAATTTGGGAGGGGTTTGTACAGCAAATGTTAATATCACAAAAGAAGGAATTTGGCCTCCAAAAAGGATTAGACTGGTGCATATGCTTTGAAACATCTTGGATACAGCACTCTTGCTGTAATTCCCTCTGGCTTCATTGTAGAGAGTGTAAACAAAAAACGACATGATTGTGGATTTTCATTGTATTCCCTGTTCTACTAGATACCCTTAGCTGAATGGATGGGATGTTGGCTGGGGATTGTGAAGTTCATTCTCTTGCTGTTGGTTGGTGTGAGTTTGAGCAGTTGTACCAGACTGGAGCTAAGATTGAAGTCTGTGCTTCCTGTTATTCTGAGAAGGGTGAAGCTTCCTCTAAGACAGAGCAGAATACTGAATCAGCTGTTAATTTTGATAGCCAAGACCATGTCTCTGTGAGCCATTTCATAATGTAACTTGTTGCATTGCCTACACTTGGTGGCCAATGCAGCATGTATTATATTCTGTTATTCCTTGTATCCTCTTTGTTATGTTTTTTTCTGTTAACTATTATTAACTGTTCTCTTAATAACCATAAGGAGAAAGTATGGTTAACTACTTCATTAATTCCCTTAAAAAATGCAACTATTTTATGTGTTGAATGGTACCATATTTATACTTGAATTATGGGATGGTTTGACATGATAGCTAACATTTATGGAGAACTTACTATTGGCCAGACACTGTTAAAAGCGCTTTACATTGCTTAATTGATTTAGCACCTATATTATGTCACACTTAATTCTTAGAAAAATCTGCCTGACTGCAGAGGTTGCAGTGAGCCAAGATCTCACCACTGCACTCCAGCCTGGGCGACAGAGGGAGACTCCGTCTCAAGAAAAAAGAAAAATCTGCCTGACTGAAAGCTACTACTATAATTATTCTTACTTATCTATGTGGAATTCGAGGCACAGAGGTTTTAAATAGCATGTCAAAAGTCCTACAGTCAGTAAGTAACAGGACTGGAATTTGAGCGCAAGGAATCTACCCCCAGGTTCTAAGCACTTAACTACTAACAACATATTACCTGTTTGAATGGAAACTTTGAATATTGAATAGATCATGATGTACACACACACACATGTATGTACAGGGGCACATACATACTTTTTCATATTCATGCAACTCACAATTGAATTTGCAATTTTATACAAATGTTGTTCTACTCTTTATATTCATTGAGCTGCCAGATTAAAATTCAGACTTATTGAAGAACAAGAAGAACTTTATTTATTAAAAAATCTCTGGATACCTCTTACATGCAGAGAACTCTAGTATAAATTGGAAACAAAAATAAGCACAATCTCTAATGTTTTGTGAACCTTAAGACAAGAAGATAAGAAAATTCTCATGCACAAAGCTTCTATTTAAAAAGTTCAGTTAGGTGTTGACAGAATTTGGGGGTGATATGGTTTTCCAGGCTTCTGGTGGGTGATGGTCCCTGGGCCTGAGAAGGTGGAGGCTGTTCTTACCACAGAGAAAGCAAGAAATCCTAGGTCAGCCAAAGAGACAGTTCTTCTAGGTCAAGCCTCCAATTACTGGAGTCAAATGCATGGTTACTTGGGGAAGCCTGGCAGAGTAGATAGTGACCAATTGACTGAGCTGGCTGGTCCTTAGGTGGTAGATCACCCCATATGAAAGCAAGATATCCCAGGTCAGCCAGAGAGACAGTTTTCCTAGGTGAGGCCTCTAACTACTGGGGTCAAATGCATGGTTACTTGGGGAATCACTGCAGAGTAGATGGTGACCAACTGGCTGAGCTGGCTAGTCCTTGGGTGGTAGACCACCTCAAGAAGTAAAACATGATCCTGGGTGGATGGATTCTAGAGCCACACTGCCTGGGTTAAAATCCCAGCCCTGAACCCTATTACCTACGTGACTTCAGGTAAAGTTTGTTTTTTTTCCAAAAATGTTTTTGTGCCTCATTTTCCTTTTCTAGAAAATGAGGATAATAATAGTACCTACCTCACAGGACTTTAATGCAGATTAAATAAGTATATGCATGTAAAGTGTTTAGAATGATGTCTGGCATGAAGTAAGTGCGATGTAGGTATTCACCGTTATTATTATTGCTATCATTACTGGTGGAGGCAGGAGTGGATTCAGAGGTTCAGACAGGCAGGGGGTGCACAGCCTATCTTACTTAGAACAAATGTAAACCCAAGGAACCCATCTCTCCCTCTCATCTCCCAGAGTACATTTCTTTGACTTCTGCTTATTTTGTCTTCTAAAGAAATTTATGACAATGAAATATGTGCTTGTATTCTCTTCTCTTAATTAAAGTTATTTCTATGGTAGATAATAATTCATTGTTACGATGTCTCCTTTGGAATATGTAACA